GCTGCTCCTGGAGCGCTAAGTTTGGTCTGAATAGGACACACCAGCTGCCTCACTCCTTTCCTCCCTTCCATGTGCACCCACTCCTGTGGGCAGTGCTCTGAACACCCACTTCTGGGGGCAATGCGCTGTCCCAGGGTACAGCACTGAGCAGGACGTGGTCCCTGCCTGCATGGCACTTCTAGAATGAGTGGATTAAGGCAAATAGTGTCCATACACAGGGGTGATTCCAGCAAACGTTTAACTTCCTCTGGAGGTGTACAACAGACAATATGGCGGATTGTGGGGTATAGCAGGTGTTTTGCTTGACTAGCACCCCATTTTTACAGTCTGATGTCTTCAGGCAGGACACATGGTCTACTGTACACACAGTGCCCCTCTGATCTGATTTCCGGAGGCTTTGCACTGACCCACCTGGTCCTTGAGCTCATCTGACTTAGCAATACCCCTCAGCCTTGAGGTCTGGGAAGGTTCTAGGTGGAAATGACACGTAAGCTGGGCACATCAGGAGTTAGCCAGAGGAAGAGGAAAGGGCTGGGGAAGGCTCTTAAGCAGAGGGAGGTGTACATTCAGGATCCTGGTTCACTGGGTGGTGTGGGGGCGGGCCTGGAGCTAGGATGAAGTGGTTGCAGGCATCAGAAAGTGGGGTGACACGGGTGTCTTTTTAGCCTAAATAGATATTTACTTATTTATGCATTTGCCAGAAGGTGCACATACTTGTGCGCGAGAGAGAGAGAGAGCGCCCCCATGTGATAGTCACACCACTATCCTTTTTCCTCCAAGAAACTGAAGACTGAAGGAGGCTTGGCTAATGCGATAGAATGATGGTTATGTCAGCTCCAAGCTAAGGTCACCATGGGGGTGGGCAGAAAAGGAGAGGTCTGCTCTCAACAAGACGCACTGTAGGCACAAGCGGGACCTCTGCGAGTTCAAATTCAGGACACAGTAGGGTGGGCGGGGCGGGGGCTCAGGAGAAAAGGACCAGGCTGAGGGACTTGGTGTCACTGGCATACAGACAGACAGACATGGAATGAAGGTGATCCAGGGGGAGGGTGCAGAGTGGGGAGAGAAGGAGGCCTGGGAGTGAGCTCCTGAGGAACCCCAACTTCTAAGGACTGGAGAGCAAACCATCTGTAAAGGAGATTGTGCAGAGCCCAGACGCTGCCATGGGGACATCTGGTAGGTCTGACCGGAGAGCGGGG